CAGATAATGGGTACTTCCAATAAGAGTGCTTTTCACAGAGGGGGTTATCACCTATGGTAAGAGTGTCTGAGTGCTTTTCACATACAGTATAGGTCCACGGCGTTGGACCACGGACACAGAGGTAGTACACTATTAGCGCACATTACTGGAAATAAATTAGCATGTAATTTTATGATTTTATTAAATGATATTTTGGGGGTCCAAAAGTAAAGCTGCTGTAATTGAAAGTGTTTTTGAGTGGCGGGATTATCATGCATTTATGCAAAGGAATTTAAAATCTAAAATTGTTTGCAAAAAAAGAAGCGTCAGAGTGGAATTTGCACCACATCCGTGTTGGCAAAACTAGGACACAGAACGTGAAGTTATGGGAGTTGTTTTGGTGCTGTTTAGTCCTACAGACAGTCCAGATTCACCTATAGAGATGTCATTGTTCTTCAACTCGAGGGGCTTGGGCAAAATGGAGCTAGACCCCCCATATTTCATTTCTCCCTCGCTGATAGCATTTATCAGCAGTGTCCTGATAAAAACAAAATATGCAACTTAAGCCTGAGCAGGGCTTAGCCGCCGAGGTGGACAGGATTACCTGGAGGCTAGCCGGGACAGGCATCAGATTGTACTGTCATAAAGGGCCATTAGCCTCTTGGCAAACTGTACCTCAAGCCCAAGATGACAGAGCTTTTCAAGACAGACAGGGGGGAAAATATGAAACTTAAATTCGCAATGACAGACATCTCACTGAATGAGCCCGCCAGAAAATGGGTTTGTAAAACAAATCTCACATTAAAAAAAGGTCCTTTGTTTTTCACTTTTATCCATATTTGACACCTGTGAGCGTTTAATTGGTTTTATTACCAAGTTTATGCATGAAATAATGAATTTTCACTGCTCTCTACTTGATGTAAGTATTTATATGAACAGAGAGATGGGGTTTCCACACAACGCACAATGGAGTAGACTTACTTACTGGCTGGGATTAAATTTAATACAGGATCTTGACAGACATATCCTGGAAGCATATTGCTTTCTGTGGAGATTTCCTCAGAGCAACGCTTACAATTTTTTTTCTTTTTTTTTTTGACTTGATAGGTTTTGGGGGGATTTGCCTGATTAATTGGTTGGTTAAGTCTCTTTAATCCATGATGATCACTTCCTTGCATGTCTCACGGTATTTCTTTAAGATAATATTTGCACTAATGCTCCACATATCCGCAAACTCAAAGACAGCTTCAGTTTCTAAGATATGTACTCACTCAGTTTTGAGTGGCACTGCAGGAAGTCTCCACTTTAAGGTAAGGAAAAGTCACAATATGAAGTATAATTGCAAGGAAGGGGTGCTCTAGACAAAGTATCCACAGGTAAAGCAAGTACCACCAGCTGGTTATCTCCACAGCCGTCAGCCAGCATGTCAAAGAAAGTTCTGTCACTTTCTTTGACATGCTGGAAAAATAGATCATGCGTGTTATCTTCAGGAGGTGATCTGGATTATTTGGTAACATGCATATAGCTCTTTTCTTGTAAATCTCCATCTGTTTCCATCCACACACCTTTCACTGTGCAGTGCCTAAAGGCCATATCATAAGCCAAGCCTGTAATAAAGAATCAGGGAGCACCTCTGTCTGCTCTGTCTCTTTCAGTGTGCTTATAGCGGCTGCCGACCTGTCCTTTCCCAGAGGGCTTTGTGAAAGGACAGAAATGTGATGCTGCTACTCAGACACAAGTCGTGGTGGAGTCTGTCTGGGGAGGCCACGCTGTGTCTCCCTTCTATGACCCCCCACAACCCCACCTCCTCCCATTTTTCCTGAACACAGAGACTTTAGGCGCCAGGCTCGCTGTAACTGCAGTCTCAGGTATGCTGGGCGGACGCTGTGGCCACTTCCCAGGACTTCACCTGCACCTGAGATTGAGTGACACGGGAGCCAGAATCCACTATACCTCAGGGAGAGCAGCTCAGAGTGCTCTATAACTGAAAGGTGAATGAACCTGTGTCTTCATTCGCTGATTGTAGCTGAAGTAAATTTGATCCATCAATCTTCTAGGTATTTAAAATAAGCATAGGGACACAAACGTTTGGTAGAAATATTACTCAGATTCTATCGTGGAACAGGTTTCTTGCAGCTGTTTTTATAATTTGGGAATTTATTACTTCTAGCACAAATGTCAAGATCTGTTAGTTCAAATATGATGACTGGCAGCTTTTCTTTTTTCTTACATGCTTGTAAATTGGGCTTTGGGCTCAGGAATTTCCAAACAGGAAATTTTCTGTGCAGCAAATTTGAACAAGAACCGGTTTCAGCAACCAAGGATCGATCTGCCAAAGTCAAAGGCTTTGACTGAGCAGCGCCAGACCCATACCCTGGCCCAGACCTCGTTAGTCCTCAGGCCTGAGCTCGACCCAATCCCATGAGCTAAAGCCAGGCCACCAGACACTGCCTGACAAACACTCCCCTGGACAAGGTTCAACCCCAGTCTGGGCAAGGCAACATGCTCCATACATTTCCAGTCCACAGAGCTCTTCTGACTCACTCTTGGTCTGGCACTTAACTGAGGAATTACCTTACTTACATTAGAAGACTCTGCCAGGGACAAGTTCCTCCTGATAATATAGCTCCTGGGATCTCTAGGGCATACAGATCCCTGGCAGGGGTTTGCTTCAGACATGTGACAAAGATGTCTCAGAGGTAAGCCATTTTTGAAGATGTTCAACAGAGAGGAGGCCTCGAGATAGAACTAGGACACACTGGAGAGTCTTGGTTGGCTTGGGTAAGCCTTGGTGTCCCCCTGGAAGACTTGGCTGGGGAGACGGAGATCTGGGTGTCTCTTTTCCCTCACAACCAACACTCAGATAAGCAGCAGAAAACGGATAGATGGATGGATGTTTTAACAACTTTTAACTGATTGGTAATAAAAAAAAAAAGAGTTCCAGCCCTACCAGGATAAATAAGAAAGTCCTTCTGTTCATTATTTCACATGACAGTAGTGGTTAAATGTTACTGACCTTGTTCTCGTCGTGTGTGCGGGCTTGATGTTTTCTTTTTCAGCACCTACAACTTGTTTTTTATGAATGCATTTTTACTAATAACTGGTGAGAAACTATTTAAACAAACAGCATTAGCTTCCTACACTTGCCAGTGTCTTATTCCTCTTTCCTCTGAGTGTTGTGGCATTGTCATGTGTAAAGGCTTAGGATGATTACAAAATAATTTGAAAATAGAATAAGTGCGCAGAGCTTAAGTTGAGGTTTGTTCCATCTGTCAACATATGACAGCTGGAGAGCAATTTTCATTGTGGTACAAGTGGTTTTGTGGTAAATGTGCGCTCTCATTTATCTAAAATACATCCTAAGCTGTGGCTGCTGCATCATTATTTGAGCGGGCCGCATGGGTTACAATGTGCATTTGTTCCCAAATGAAAAATCTTTGACAAAATTTGAGTGACTTGAGTGCATATGTTTTGAGGAAAGAGGGCTTTTGTGGTGGCCTGGAAGCGAAATGTGTTTCTGGGAGAGAGGGAAGCATGCAGGGAGGAATTCAAGAAAACAAGATTTCTAAAATATTTGATTTTTGGGACTGATGGTATCGCTGATATTTGGGGGGATGGAAAATACAGATATAAAGCAAATGTTAAGAGTTATACTGAAAAAAATGTGACGCCATTTCAGAGTTACCTCGAGCATTCTGCTTTCTGCATTCTGCTTTAAAATGTTTTTATATTGTGAAATATGCTGAAACATAAACAGCATACCAAACTTCTTTTTTTTCTTCCAGCTGTTCCTTTTAGGGTTGCCACAGCGAATCACCCAGCTCCATCTCTATCCCTGACATCCTCCTCTGTCTCACAAACCCTCTGTATCTCTTCCTTCACCACGTCCATGGATCATCTCTGGGGTTTTCCACCTGTCTGGCAGCTATATTCAACACCGTTTGTCCAGTATATCCACTATCCCTCCTCTGCACATGTCTCTTTTTGATGTATTCATTTCTAATCCTGTCCATGCTGCTCAGTCCCAAGGCAAATCTCATCCTTGGTGTTTTTGAAAACATTTTATGTTGGATATCCATCTTCACACAGCTCATTCCATTCATTAGGGTTTGGATTGAGTGCTAGGAGTACACTGGCTTATAATAAATAAATAAATAATAAATGAATTTTAAAGAGTAAAGAAAGCAGTAATACAAGAGTCATAATAAAACACACCTTCTACAAGCCAGGTGACACATGCAGAGAACATGCTCCTCACACCTTTAAGTAAAATGTACCGTTAATTAATTTAATAAAAATTTTAATTTTTAATTTAATTTAATTTTAATAAAAATGTATTAATTAATAATAATAAAAAACATAATAACAATACTCAGAAGTAGAGCCAGTACTCTGATAGGAGGAGTGAAACGAATGGATGGATGAGCATCCTAAATACATAAGCAATATTCCCCAACACATGAAACACTTTGCAGGGAATAAAGTGTCACTGTGACTGAAATGGATAACAATGTGAAATAAATATTCTTTACACCAAAACTTATTTTGGACATTTTTTTCTGCACAGCAAACATGTTAACAGAGCTGATGAAGCTGTACCTGTAATACTGGATAGGTACTGGTAATGTTAAAAATCAAATTTGAAAAATATATTTACTCTAAGTGTGATAAGAAGACAAAACAAAAAGCGTTCAAACTTGAAATTAAGGATTTTCCTTAAAATACTTCGTTTATTTATCTTAAACAGGTTAGACTCACTGCTTTAATTAAACCTGTTAGAAAAATCTCATCGGATATATCGACCTGTTTCTCTTACTGCACTGGTCTTTGCTTTCTATTTGAGGGCAGAGAGCTGGTTCTTAACTGCCTGTGTGTGCGTTTGTAAATCACATTGAATTTAATTACATCGAGTGTTTCTTGAGTAAACCTGCCTTACCTCGCTTTGCTGTGGCTCACAGTTCCTCCTGCGCTCCCCTGTGCAGTCATCATGCCATCCATGCGTGCACGTCGCGCAGCCGCAACCGGCTCGATCAACTTTAACTTCCCACAATTCCTGCGTGAAGAGGCTTCATTAACAAACAGCAACACACCGACGGAGCTAACATGTCAGACAAGAAGCAGACCGTAGATCTGGGCTTGCTGGAGGAGGATGATGAGTTTGAAGAATTCCCAGCCGAGGGTGAGTAGTTCACATGTTATCTGAGGTGTTGTTGTTCTTGTTTCTCTCTTCATTAGTTGTTGGAGTCCGTTACGTTTTTCTTTGCTGTGTCCTGCTGCAGTGACTCAGCTAGCCTAGCCTATTAGCTTTAGCATTAGCTAGCGAGCTAGCTGGAAGAAAAACGCCACATTTGTTCCGATTTAACCAAACACACCACTTCACCGAGCTCCCAGTAGTTTAATTCACCACTAAAATTTACTTACTGACTGCGCTTAGTTGTTTAAATATTATGTATACTTGAAGTAATTGTCTTACACCGCCAATGTAGCTAAACCAACAAGCTAAAGTGTTCAGAACTGGTGAGCAGATACTTTTATATTAAGGTTTTATTGCAAGCTTACAGCTGTAATGTTTCCCAGACTGGACAGGGCTGGATGAAGACGAAGACGCTCATGTTTGGGAAGACAACTGGGACGATGATAACGTAGAAGATGATTTCTCAAATCAGCTGAGGTAATCTGATCAGTCAGAAATTGTTCATTAAATAAAACTTTTTTTTAAAAAAATCTCACAAATCACTTAAAAGCTAATGAAAAACTGTCCGATGACAAAGACGTTTGCATAATCAGAATCGTTTTTGCACATTTCTTTGACTTTCTGTGACAGTTTATGAAGTCCTTACTGTCTACTTTCTTGCCTTAATGTCATACTATATCTCCATCTTTATGCTTACATTTATTTGATCAAGTTTAGGGTCACGCAACAAAAATACTCTCCGTTTTGAATGAAAATCTTTCTGTTTTAGCACATGTGGGACACAGTCTTTTTATTTATTTTAAATGGAACAAACCAACATTTGATCCACAGATGTTTCATATTTAATAATTCAGTCATCTGCTCTGCGTTTGTAGGTCATTGACGTGTTAACATTTGAATTTCTGTTGCTCTAAAAGCAGGGGTGCGTTTTTGTAACTGCTGTTGTGCACCTTTTTTTTGATTTTGTTTCAAATGCCTGCCTAAATTAAAAGCTAGTTCATTTCAAACCACACCTTTATGTTAAACACCTTTCACCTGGTTTATATCGATCTCACATGTTTGGCAAGCCGGCTGTGTGCAAATAGCTAAGCAATACCTGATCAAAAACAATAGGACTTGCTAATATTTCCCGTGTTTGTTTTCTTTCTGCAAATGTTTCTCAAAACTGTGTCAGAAAAATGTAGATCATTGAGCAATTTCTGATGCCTAAACTACAAATAAACAGTGCACTACTTTGGCCCAAAACCTCGTCCAGTAAATCTCTTGGCTGTCGAGAAAAATCAGGAAATCGGACAGCTGGTAAAATTTGTCCCCCTGGTGACGCTGGAAACTTTTCCGTGGTGCCTGTTGGAATAACATTACACGCATTGTGGTCGATCAGCGGTTACTTGTAAACCTAGTGGAGTTTCTATCAGATGTTTAATCGTTTACAAACATGCTCCAAGTCACTGTTTATCTATTAGTATTGTTTCTAAACCACAGGCGTTTTAAACAGTGGCCACAGTTTAACATCTTCAAGTTCAAAATCCACAGAAAATAAACAGAGAAAAAAAAAAGAATGCTTTTGGCACAATAATGTGAAAGGTGTGAATTTTTAGGAAACAAAAGTTAAATTAAGTTTTCGACTTTACCCTGGTTCCCACTTACGAACGACCCCCCCCCCCCCCCCCCCACACACACACACACACAAACGAAAAGTATCAACACAGGCAACATCATTACTTAGCTACATGTATGACTGCTGATACTATATTTCTGTTTATGAATGTAAATGTGAATCCTAATCATATGAATTAGAAATACCACATACAGTATATAATGTAATCGGTCATGAAGAGCCTGATGGGTTATGCAGAGAGAAACTACTATCAAACAATTAACATTTTTATTTATATGCTGTCCATATGTAGCACATGGTGAGTAATTTTCCCTGATATAACATATTGCCTTTGCACACCACCAGAATGCCTTTTAGGAGCCGTGCATGCAATTCAGTCGTTGATCTAAATGCAGCATGGAAGATGCAGTAACCAATAATGAACTTGCCTGGTGAGATTTGTACCAGTTTTGTGGCCTAGATCACCTTTTTTGACAGCAGGGCTCGTTTATATTTCACATATGTAGAAAAATATAAACGCCTCTAAAACGCAACAGACGAACAACATTTGTAACGTGCAAAAGTACCTTAGGTATGTTGAGTTTAGCAGAAATGTAATGGAGTTGGCAAATCTATGAGCAATCAGTATCCACTGATAGATAAATGGCTGCTTTGTTTTTATTTGAGTACCCTTTAGACAGTTATATGCTATTGTTTTATTTAGGCCAATTACGATAGCCATACTATTAAGTTGTTTCTTAAAGATATCATTATTGTTAAAGGCCACAGCTGCTATATGTCTATATATGTAATCATCAAATCCATAGCTGTATGCATTATGCAGTATTTATATATTTTTTTTCTTCTCATCTCCTAATGGTTCTTACAATCAATAGCAGAGGGTACTTATGCCTCAACCACCCACCTGTAATCATCTCTGCTGACTTGATCTTTCTATTTTTCTTTTCCTCCCTGCAGAGCGGAGCTTGAAAAACATGGTTACAAGATGGAGACATCATAGTGGCTGACAAGGCCTTTCAGTATTCGGAGACATTGGATATGGACATTTATAATTGAAAATTACTGGCTGACCACATACTGCAAGAAGAGCTCAGAAGATGTTAATTTGTTGCCCTTTTTTATAATTGAAGTTGGTGGAAGTAAAGTGTTTGGAAGAAAGTGTTCCTTTGAGTGTTTTTCCTTTAATGTTTATGCTACAAATGTTTAGGTGACAGTTAAAGATAATTTCTGCATTACATTTGTGTTAATTTTATATTTGTGTGTAATGCAATCTGTAGACTGGTCCTAGCTCCTCAGCCTGAAGAAACCAGTTGGTTTTGAGTAATCATTAAAATATTGCTGAAATTCAATAGGCTGTAATAACTGCAGTCCCTGTAATCGAGGAAGAAAAGCCAGTGGCCAACAGTGATGCTTGAGCAAACATTCAGCCGGGGTTCTTTGGTTTCGGCTTGTCCTTGGGCAGCTCTTATTTTGTACATGCACTAAAATCCATTTTTCTAGTTGGTATAGAAGATGACTCAGGGTTTGGCTAAAATAACTGCAAATTACAGTCTTTGTAAGAACTGTTGATCTCCTCAGACGCACACCTGCCAAGTCAACACAATCTACCTGTAATGGGCAGCTTGTTATTGCCCTCTGACACTTAGTGCATTTATTTTGGACTGCATGAATTTTGCATGATCTTACTCAGGTTCAAGTACTCAACAGATATTCGGGATCATTTTGCTTCAACTGTACTTTTTTAAAGGAAAATATTTTATGAAAGGCTCTGTTTATTGAAACTGTCAAAGCGATGTCTGCACGATAGAGGAAGAGTGAACAAAGTGCATGAGGGGAAAAAAATAGAGCTGCATAGGCTGTGCACGGTGGAAGTACACACAATGCAAACAAGTGTAAGTACGCTTGTGGTGCATGCTACACACATACAGAGGCAGTTCCTTTGCACTGTGCTGTATAACAGCCCCCTTCTCTCTCAGCCCCACAGCGCTGGGCCGAGTCCCTGAAGGAGAGATTATCCACTGCCGTGTTTGTCAGAGACAGGGAGGGGGTCTCAGCATGGGGCCTCCCAGCTTGCCTTGCCTGGGCCTGCCCCTACTGCCAGCCAGGCCCTTCTCTTCCGCTTGGCACAGCGGGGACTCTTGTACTGAACCAGAGGCCAATTTATCCCCGCCACACTCCCCCGGCAAAATGATTTCTCTCAGTGTTTTGTCGACTCTCGGTCCCAGGGTCCTAATGAGGTGAAATGGATGCCAGTAAGACCGAGGCTGCAAGAGCCGCTTTCATCCTGAAAACAATATCCATCCTCCTACATGAGTGGAAAGTAACTTGGAAACATTTACACAAGCACTGTATTTACATACATTTTTTTTCTGTACTGTGGTGTATTTGCATTTTGTGTAACGTTATTCCCTTAACATATATTTATTGGATCAGTGTAGTGGCTATTTTGTCCTTTTAATATACACAACAACCTCAAAAAGTTAAGCAATTTATAAGGGGAGGGTCACATGACGTTCACATACTCTTAAAAGATCTTAAATGTGTTTAATGACACACAAATTATCTCTGAGTCTGGATGAATGATAAAAACAGGACACATTAGAAAAATATTTTTCACGTCTGCGGAAAAAAATTGCATTCCATGGAAATTGTTGGCTTTTTTGAAGCAATTATTCGGTCCGATTTAAAGCAGCCCCTATTAGAAAAACATGATCAAACAAGTCAAAGGTCACATGCCCCAAAAAACGTAAACTGCTTAATTTATCACACTTTAAGATTCATAAAACTAGAATTACAGTTTCCAGATTAAGGGCTAAAGATTAGACTTCTCACTGCAGTTTTCTTTTGTATTTTTTGAACCAGAGATATTTTCTTTACAATATAAAAGCATGTGGTGCCAAGATCTAAAGAGCTTTCCGAGTCCTCCAGAAAGAAAAATATTTGAAATCACAGATTCCAGTGTAAGTAAAATTAAATACAAGTGCTTCTAACCACTACCATCTTTTCCAGTGCTGGTTAGTCTAAGCAAATATGGTTTGAGTAATGAGATATGTTTGATTCCAAAAGAAGTCTCCAAGAATCCTCCGCCCCTTGAAAGAAAAAAGATCACATGACCTGCAGGTAATGGACAGAGCGCCTCTGGGACTGAAGTCACAGATTTGTGAATCTCATCAGTTTCATGGTTTGGGGGACAGTTATGTAAAAAACTTTTTTTTTTTTACAGAAGAAAATTGAAAACAAATTTTCTCTGTCACGATGACGTCCCCATCTCCACCTTCCACCACCTTTAAGATAGCAAATTTCTATTGGATTGATAGATTTTTTTTTTTTCATTCTTAAGTTTATCATTAATTAAAGCTTTAAATTTCACCTAAACAGATTTGGACGTTGTTATTCTTTTATCTAATACCACTCAAGTATGGACGAAATAGCTACATTATAAATCTTATAACCGAACACTTCTAAATTACAGATGCTTACACACAAATTTAAATGCTTACAGACTTTCAATATTAAAACTGGAATAGCGCTGATTATTTATGGTACAGGTCAGTTCAACCATCACTAATAAATTCTTATAATTGGTATCTAATTATGTCATTAGGTTGGGTAATATAAAACATACTTAAATTATGTATTGTGTCAGAAACAATTGGCGCGTATACGTTTTTAATGCACAGCGTCATACATTTGCGAGTAATTTTCAAACGAAAGAATTGTTGTTTTGTAGGGGAGGTTTCATTATTGATCAGTGAGCTCGTTATCATTCCTGACACCATATGCTGCTGTTTTAACGAAGCTCCTTGCATCTCAGAGCTACACAAAGGTGCTCTTTATTTATCCCACTACTGCCTCATTACACGCTCTATAAATGAAACAATCTCTCGCAAACATCGGTTACAACCATAAATCAGCCTTCCGGATATTGTTCCCAGGTCTGTTTACCAAATAAGTGGAAGTCAGTCAGTAAACATCAGTAATTATTATTTAACTGTTTATTAACAGTACAAGACTTATTACTGAAGTAAGTATTCTAAAGTATTGTGAAGATTATTATTTTTCTAGCACCCTCTGCAGGAAATAAAGCAAGGTATCATGTTCCATAAGCTTGGACTCAAACATGCGGGATGCCCCAATCTGTTTATGCCCATAAGGGCCCTGCGCCACATGATTATTCTAAGGGCTGGGAAGTCAGTGAAGTGAGAGAATCGGTAAGTGAGAGCAACAGAGGACGACTTGTGACCATTTTGTTTGTGCTGAGAGCGTAAGATTGGTCCCTTGTGTTTGGCGCGGTGAGAGGGCCTCCGTGGGCCCTCGATATTCAACCTCACACAGATCATCAGGCTTTTCAGCGTCTCTGTTCTGGTTCCTCTTTGATCTTTTTTAATCACGACTTTAATTTGCGCTAGCATTTCTTTTTAAAATTTTTGTTGTTGTTGTTCCTTTGTGACCCACATGATTCACCTTGACACTGTGGCTGATATTGACTGATGTGGGGTAGAAGTGAATAACAATCTGCTTGAAAGGATTGCATTTGAAATCTTCTGAACTGTAAAAGACCATTACTGTCTTTGCTTCTTTATATGGATATCCTCATAAGGAGTAGGCTAATACTTTAAAGAGATTCAAACCAACAACCGAATGCAAGAAATTCTGCGAACAGAATTTTGCGAAGTCTTTTCCAATGCCTAGATTCTTCGTAAAGCTTTTTTCCCCCTTATCTGCAAATTGTTTTCCCTCAGCCCACGCAGTTCTGAGACCACATGCAAGAGAGCAGCCAATGGAACTGTGGTGAGGACTATTTCATAACGCTTCATGTTGTGAGATGGCAGATCCATTGTTCTCAAGGCCCACAAGTCTGTGGGCGAGAGTCCCCGCTGTGTCTACACTGAAGAAACACACCAGCCTCCCAGGGTATATTTTCCTCGCTTTTCTGCAGACACCGGAGGCTACTGTGACCATTCCAGCTCTCTCTCTCCCACTGCTACAGGCCCTGCACTCCTCTCTTCGCTCCCTTCACTAACCAGCCGGGGTGAAGACGAAGCTGTCGCTGCACAGCTAGGAAGCATGCAGCTGCTACTATAATAGCCCTAATTGCATGTTTCTTTTGTTGGGCTGAAATTAGCAGTGGGGCTACAAAACTACTACTAAAACCCCCCAAAAACCTCCAAGTAAAGATGGCGGGGTGTGTGTTAAAAAAAATACACAAAAAAAAGACACTCGGGGGTGCGCTCACCACTGAGAATGCCAACCCATTGCAGAATGGCCCACACCTGTATGCTCGCACCCCCGCTAAAGTAAACACAGATAATAAGGTATAATTACTTTAGAAAATAATAATGAGTAGCAACCCTCAAGACCCCCCTCCTCTCAGTGACAAAGGGCTGCCTGTTTTTTGTGGGGGGTGAAACAACCCCAAAGGACGCTGGCGAGTGCCCTATCAAAAGACCTGAGGGCCCTACTGAGGGTCCCTTATAGGACCGTCATCAGTGTCAAGGAGGACTTGGGCTTTTAAGTCTATTCTACCCTAACTGCCTCAATTAAGCACTATGGACTGACCACGAGCTACTTTTTCAGCTCCATTCATCCTCATCAAAGTGATCCCCAGTTGTCCAGAATGGTTTTCCCACTCTCTATGAGATCTGAAGAAACTCGCAATTTCTACTGTGGATCAATTTATGTAGCTCCAAATCACAACAACAGTTGCCTCAAGGCACATTATAATCACTAACATGACGTGTAGTGAAAATAAAAATGATTAAGCATCTATATGTATCTGTACATAAGAAAAGACCAGAATAAGCCAGATCTTCTTCATGGATTCACTTCTGCTGCAAGGTCGTAATAACGCACTGTGTTAGAAGACAGCAAATAGCATTAAAAGAATAGGATAAGAATAGGGCCGAGTCAGCCGGAAACAGAATTCCCCTCAACTTTTGCATCTGTGCTGTCTTCACACCGAGGACTGAAAAAAAAAGAAAAGATTGTTGTATTAAACCAAAAGTTAAATATTTGTGGAAATAACTTTATGTTCTTATTGGAAGAGAATTAGATTACAATATTTATACAACTCTCATACCAAGCAGCAGGTTTGCTTATCTTGGTGCAAAAAGTGGTTTTATGATTTTATCATAAAATCCAAGCAGAGGCACCTGCAA